GTCTTCCCGAGTTTTAACTGAGATTCTGTCACCTCCTTCAGTGACAAATGCACCATAGTACAGAGCACCATTCAAGTAGGGGGAGAAAAGAGAGAGATGGTAGTAATAGGAATAGCTTAGTTAGGGGAATAGATACTGTGCCCTGCTCAGATTCTCCAGCATTGGCAGTTCCCACTATCTCAGAAGAAATAATCTGCCTCTTTTTGATTTTTAAGAGAAAGCCTCTTGTCTAAGACTCCTAGCAGTGGAGAATTCAAGCTTTTAGCTCCAGCAGCCAACAGAAACCTTTTCAACTAATTGAAGGCAAAACCAAAAGCCTTCCTAGGTCTGTGTGAATCTTGACCCTGCCCAGTCATGGTTCTTTTGTCTTTCGTAGATCGTAGAATCCCTACAGTGTGGAAACAAGCCCTTTGGCCCAACAAGTCCACACTGACCCTCACAACAGTACCCCATAATCCTCCTAATCTACACATCGCTGAACATTATGGACAATTTGACATGGCCAAACCACCTAGCCTGCACATCTTTGGACTGAGGGAAGAAACCGGAGCACCAGGAGGAAACCTATGCAGACACAGGGAGAATGTGCAAACTCCACACAGACAGTCACCCGAGGGTGAGAATCGAACCTGGCTCCATGGCGCTGTGAGGCAGCAGTGCTAACCACTGAGCCACCGTGCCACCCTGGTTATTTAAAAACAAATCAAAGGAGAACTCAAAGCTGTTTACTAACTGCCTGTCTGAAGGAGAAGTTTTGGCATCACAGTTATAACACACCTCTACAATACAAACAGGACAGAGAACATATCTGTTAAAGGCACAGTATTGTCACAAAGGATCCGATTGTCATTGTAAACATAGGTAACAATGATAGGGGAAGGTATTAATATGGTGGTGAGTAGTGATAAAGGTGCAATAGATTGTGATGTAGAATCAGTATCGGTGGAAATGATAGCCAGGGAAAGACGACACAGGTGGGAGTCATCTGTAAGTCCCCAAAGAGAGTATAAATCAGAAAATAATGGAAGTATATAAAAAGGGCACTATGATTGTCATGGGAGATATTAATCTGCATATTGACATTGGAGATGAATTTCTGGAGTGCATCAAGGGATTGCTTATTAGAGTAGTGTGTTGTAGAACCTACCAGGGAATGGGCTATTTTAGCTCTAATAATTCTAAACTAGAATTAATATGATATCTCATAATTAAGGATCCTCTAGAGATTAGCAATCAAAACATGGTAGAATTTCAAATTCAGGTCGAGGGAAAGCAGCCCAAGTCTCAAATCAGTGCCCTCAAATAAGGACAATTACAAAGATATGCAGAAAATGATTTCTAAAGCAGGCTGGGAAAATAAACAGGACAGCAGATGAGCAGTGGCAGTTTTAATCAGATATTTCATAATGCTCAGAAAAATTTATTCTATTCAAAATGATGAGAAACATGAACCACCTAGGGTTAATAAAAAACGGTGAAGGAAAGCATCCAATCAAAATCAAGGACATAAAAAGCATCAAAAACTAATGGTAGACCAGAGGATTGGGAATTCAAGAACCAGCAGCAGATCACTAAAAGACTAATAAAAATGAGAATTGATAATGAAAGTAAGTTGGCAAGAAGTATAGAAACAAACAGCAAGAGTTTCTACAGGAATGTGAAAAGAAAGAGAATGGCAGATAATGTAATCCAAAAGTTTGCATTGGTCTTTACAGTGGAGTGCATTATAAACATCCCAAAGATAACAGATAAACAAGGTGCTAGAGGGAGGTAAAGTATTGTAACAGTTTAAATTATGAGGAACAAAGTATTTGACAAATTAATGTGACTGAAAGCAGGCATGTCATATCAATGGCCTGCATCCAAGGATTTTAAAGGAAGTGGCTGCAGTGATAGTAGATATATAGGTCAAAATATTACAAAATTCACTGGATTTTGGAAGGGTTCTAGCAGATTAGAAAGCTGTTCAAAAAGGGAGGCAGACAGAAAGCAAGAAACTCTAGGCCACTTAGCGTAATATGATCGACTCCATTCAGGAAGAAATAGTAGAACATTTAGAAAAGCTTAACACAATCAAACAGAATCAATGTGGCTTTATGTAAGGAAAATGATGTTTAACAAATTTGGCAGCCTTCTTTGAGGATAAAACAGACAGAATTGGTACATGTAGTCATTTTGATTTCCAGAAGGCATTTGATAACACACAACACCCAAAGGTTATTACTTAAGGTTAGAGTGCATGGTATCGGGGATAATGTCTTTTCATAAATTCAGAATTTGTTAACAAACGGAAAGCAGAGAGTCAGGATTGATGGGTCATTTTTAGGTTGGAAAGAATTATTTTTGTATCACCAGTAAATTTGGATACATTACAATTTGCCACATGCTCTAAGTTATTAATGTAAATGGTAAATAATTGAGGTCTGGACTGGTCCTTGTGGCGCTACACTACTTATATCTTTCCAACCTGAAAAAGACCTATTAATCCTGAATCCCAGTCTTCTCTGTGTTAAACAATCCTAAATCCCTGTTTTGGTAGGAAGAATCAAAGAGCAGACTATTATTTAAATGGAGAGAAACTCCAAAAAAAAGTTCAGAGCTGAGGGATTTGACTGTTCTTGTGTATGAGGTATAAAAAGTTAGCATGCGGGTACAGCAGGTGATTAAGAATACAAATGAATTTTGGCCTTTATTATTAAGGCTTTGAGTTTAAAAATAGTGACATCTTGACACAAATGCACTGGGCATGGGTGAAGCCACACCTGGAATATGTGTATATTTTTGGCTCTGTATTTAAGAAGGGATGTATTGGGATTGGAGGCAGTTCAGAAGTGACGCACTGGGCTAATTAACAGCTCAACAGATTAGGCCTGCATCCATTTGAGTTTAGACACATGAGGGGTAATCTTATTGAAACATACTAGAATATGAGGGAACTTGACAGGTTAAATATTGAGAAGGTGTGTCCACTCATACGGAAATCTCTAACAAGGGACATAGTTATAGAACAAGGGAACATTCATTTAAAAACTGAGATATGAAGGAGTTTCTTTTCCCAGAGCATCTGGAATTGTCTACCTCGGTGTTGTGGAGATGAGGTCACTGAAAGGAGTTAAAGAGGAGGTACGTAGATTTTTGAAATATCGAGGAGTTGGGGCAATATTAGGAACTGGCATGAAAGAGGAGTTGAGGCTAGGTGCTGATCAGTTACAACCTTGTAAAATGGCATGGCAAGCCTAAGAGGACAAATGTCCTACTCCAGCTCTGATTTCTCCAGTTCTCATGAAATGTGCTGTAAAATTTCCACAGGGTCTCTGAATCTGTTTATTTAAACATCAGACAAACTGGATTATTTTCTGCAAATTGAACATAAAAACATAAGAACTAGCAGCAGGAGTAGGCAATTTAGTTTCTCAAGTCTGCTTGGCATTTAATACGATCAATTCTGATCTCATCTTGATCTCAACTCCATTTTCCTGTCCACTGTCCATAACTCTTCAACTCATTACTAATTAAAAATCTGTCCATCTCCTCTTGAAATTTACTCAATGAGATGTAAGGAAAATCTTTTTCACCCAGAAGGTGGTGGGAATCTGGAATTCAATGCTTGTAATGGTAGTAGAGGTAGAAGCTCTCATAATATTTAAAAAGTATTTAGATGTGCGCTTGCGATGCCAAGGCATACCAGGCTATTGGCCAAGGTCTGGAAAATGGGATCAGAGTAGTTAGGTGGTTCGTTTTAACTTGTACAGATATCTTGGGCCAAAGGACCTTTCCTGTGCTGTCGATCTCTATGACTAAATTCATGAATAAATGACTATGACTCTATGAATAAAATTTCACCTTTGTGGAACTGTAGTTCAGTTGAAATTTGCCAGAAATTGATGGTGCAAGCTATTTATGGAATGAAAGGTTAAGGGGAAAACCAAGTCCACTTTATGACACATGAAGAAATGCATTACTCCAGTAAAATCTGGGCTAAAATCTTGGCCTGCGTTGGGCTTCTGGTGAGGGGCAGGAAATAATAGTGGTGACCATTAAGCAACAAAAGTTAGCTCTCTCGAACATTGGATGTGTTGGCTTTACTTGGAAAATGAAATAGAAAAATGGCAACTATTAAACAATGACAGCCAAGTTGTCATTGTTTTAAAAAACGAAGCCCTCGTCAATGGTAGCCATTGCCTAAATTAAACCTGGCATTCTGTGGTCATCTGAGCAATGATATGTAATGTGGAGGTTAGTTAAGTGGTAACAGAGTAGGCTGAGGAATATTTTACAAGCAAATTGTAAGGCCATCTATGTTTGTCGTGGAGCATAAATATCAATTAAATAAAACCATAATTTTGATAACTTCAGCAAAATAGGTTTTATTTTAGATGACATACATCTTAAGTATATGCGTGTGTCTATGCATTTGCATAGACTAAAACCAAGGGGCATACTTTCATGATAAGTAGTAGGCTGTTTAAGATTGAATACATTTCTCATCTCATTCGTGGTGGTGACTCTTTGTAGTCTCCACCCCAGAGGGTTTTGGAAACTCAGTCATTGAGAATGTTCAAAACAGAACTTAATAGATTTCTGGAAAATAATGCCATGAAGGAATATGCAGTTAGTGCAGAAAAGTGGGATTGAGCTAAATAATCAGCCATGATCTAATTGAATGCTGGAGCAGGCTTGATGGGCTGAATTGCCTACTCCTGTTTCTATATTCCTACACACGTCTATGGCAAGACATTGTGATCAGTGGCAATTTTGTCTAGTTGCTTTTCAAATGAAAATGCAGTGGTTACATCAAAGATCTTGCCAATGAGCCAGACAGCTTGGAAGGCTGAATCTTTTCTCTGGCTCAGTTCCCACTTTTCTCCCGTGAAATATGATCTTTGGCAGTTCCTGTGAAATTTAATGCAATAAAACATCCCACAGGGTAATATCTGATGCGTCGGAAATTCCAGGCATAGTAATATCTTACTTTGAACATTTTGTTTGTCACCTTATAGGATCCTATAATTATTAAGAAGCAAGTCCAGGGGTGTTCTGCAATGAAGTCAGCAGTAAGTATTAATGTTGGTTGAAGCAGATTCTTATTGCAATTTATAAATCTGAAATACTGTGGCGGCAAAGATCGAGGTAACATTGAGTGTTGCCCCTGTAGCCAAATCCTGAGCGTGCAGCTGTTCAATGTTCCATAAATGCCATTGATCCTCCTGTGCCGGCTTATGATATTCCAGATAAATGATACTGGGGATTCACTGCAGATAACTTCATCCTTAATGTAAGATGGTTGAAATGCACAAGGAATTACCTACTGAATCTCTTCATATATAGTTATTTCTAATATTTAATGCTAGAAATAAGAGCAAATCATATACGTTTTTCACGAGGCTTTTCAGCTAGTTTCATTCAAAGGACTGTTTTTCCAAGTAATGTGCTCAGTGATGCATGTCTTACCCAGCACAGACCAGTTCTGAAAGCCAGTTTAATTAATAGTGTGACTAGTCCCTAGTTACTCTTGACATTTGTTGTGGAAGTTAGAATTACATTCAAGTTGAATACATGAAAGGACAATCTGCAGCAGACTGTTAAATCTGTAGTTACAGTGCAGTAATAGCTATCTTGGAATTGATTATTATTATCCCTGTAGAGATTTTTTATGTTTAAGGAGAAGTTCAAACTCCCCATTATTACCTGAAAGAATTCTACAACAACATTTCAATAAAAGAAACAATCTTTACAAAATTAGGTATGAAATATTACATTATAGTTTTGTAATAGTTAAAACATAGATCAACAGATGAGATGAATTAGAAATATAAACATCAGCTAAATATGAATTATTAGAATAACCACATATCTGGTGATTGTTAAAACAATTTTAAATTATGGATTTTTGAGAAGTCAGCACTAAGACTTCTTTTTGCCTCATTATTTCTGGTAGATTTTAGTGCAATTGCAGGTGGATTATATATTTTGAGCTATTGCCTCTCTCCACTGTGGGTTCTGGTAGACGCTGTACAATGCTGCTAATTTAGAGTTGAACTCAGTAGCCAACCTTACCTTGTGTTGTAGTGTCAGAAAATCCTCTTTGCTATTTAATTGAATGTCTTGTAATGATGAATGGGAGCAGATTTGGAAGCAATTTGCTACTTCATTAAGTAAAGGTTGTTATTCTCCAATGTATTTTCTAAGACTTTGAATGTGTGGTCTTAGTTAATGCAAGCTTTAATTTTATAAAATAATTGCTGCACTATCTAGTTCACAATGTTAAGTAAAGACTGGTCTGAGACTTCAGCATTCAAACCCGCTTTGTTTTGGCTGATGCCTTCCATTCTGTTTTATTTAAAACTTAGTTAGAGCTAAATATTTTGGCTAAACGTCTGGACATTTGTGCTGATCTCTACCTTCCTTGTTAATTACGGTTTGTGAAGCCCTTAGGGATAGTTTGTTACATTTAAAGAACAGGATATGTAGCAGTTATTGCAGCAGATTTTGTGTCGATCAAAATTGTTAATTGTCTTAACATAACATTGAGTACGTAGAATGTACAGGCAGTCAGGACACACTGACAAGCAGAAGTTACTATCCAAAATAAATAACCCACCATGTACAACTAAAACAGATTTATTGATATTTGATTTAAAAAAAAATCAAGGATTGAAATCACATTTGTAATTTCTTATTTCCATTGTTGTCCATTACCCCTTGATTAGATTTCAATTATGCATGACTTGCCCATTATCTTTACTGTGCTCTAATTTTCTCTTATGAGGCTGGGAGGTACTGTCATGGGAAACTTAGACAGTTGCTGCAATGTATTGTGTAAATAAAGTACCATCAGCACAGTGTGGTTGTTGGCCATGAAAGGACTAATTTGAGTAAAGTAGCAGCAGGCTGGTTGAAGAAACTTCTGTTCTGCACGCCACAGAACAAGCAACAATTTGACCATTGCAGGTTTTCTTGCAATTGTACCCATCAACAGAATGGCCAATCCATTTCCCACTTGATCCGTGACAATAGCGGAGAAGCTTGTCAGATCAGGTAGTGAGCCGTGTACCACAGAATATCCGTGCTTTGTCTTGCTCTTGTAGCCATGCAGTTGACAGAACTAGTGCAGTTTGATCAAAACTAACTTCTGATAATTATGCAGCAAAGATCAATGAGGGATGAGTCAAAGTTCTGTAACTGAAGATGGTCATCACCTGACAATTATGTGCCATAAATATTGTGTCCAGGTGCAAGTCCAGATCTTGATTAAGTTCTGATGTTGCCTGGTTTATTTGCTTCATTATGGAAGGAGACATAACTGAAGCTGAATGCTGTGGAATCATCAGTTCCACACTATTCTTCATAGAGAATGATGGAGAGAACATTAGTGAAACCTGTAATTCTGTAGTTCCCATCGGTAACTCCCCTCTGCCCAACCCTGCAATCCCCTAAACATCAGGGTCAATGTTATGCTGCAATGTCAATGATTGATAATTATACAGGAGTAAAAAAAAACCTGATTCACCTAGCCACTGCAGAAGAAACTTTTGATAGAAATTAAACTGTTGCTAGGAAACTGTGCAGGAAGATTGTTGATAAATTCATATCTTAATGGCTCTGACTTGGACTGATAGGCTGGAATTTCTCCAAGTGATATCCACATCTGATGTTGGGTGCAGATCCTCTATCCTTTAGATGTACATTTCCTCACATGTTGAACCTGGTCAGCAACTGAATCAAAGGCTCACATTGTTAAATGTAACATCTCATTTCTGTCATAGTGAAAATCACAGGCACACTTGCAAGATAACACAACTTAATTTATTCAAAAAGCTATTAAAGGCTACTGATGGCCCTAACTCACATTTCCCTAATCTACCTTTTGGGCAATTATCAGATTTCATGCATCTGATGATGTTGAATGGAGGGATAGTAATGCATTATACGTATATGAATGCAAAGTCAGTACAAGTATCTACCTATTCTTGCCTAACCTATGACTTTGAAGAAATATGGCCAAGACCTGCCATGAGATCACTGGGTAGTACTTTGCCAAAATGTTGGTGGCAATAGGACCTGAGGTAAGATAGAAAGAATCAGTTTAAATAACAGCAAAAAGAGAAATCCAAATCACAGCTCTGTAACATTTATTAGTGTAGTGAAAAATCAAAGTCTGTGATCCTGCAAGTGCTGCTGTCATTCTCATTGTGACCTTAAGTCCACTTGAGCTGTTTACAGAGACAAGTTATAAATGGAGGGGTACAAATGTTATAAATAGTCGCATAAGTGAAATGAGCTGATTATTTACAAGACATGACATTTGAAATGAGTCTTTTGTCAAGACCACATTACATTATGCTCATGTAATATTTATTTATTCCTCCTATTTTCAAAACAATGTTTAAAATATTGTCCTTTAGAGACAGATCACTCCAATGTAATACTACTGTGAAAGTATCTATTCCTTACTAGCTGTACAATAATTTCTTAGAAGTGTGGATTCATTGCATGAGGTCATTCAGTCCCCTTATTTCAGTTCTGGCTTTTTGAAAGAACTAACTAATTAGTCAACACTTTTGCTATTGCCCCTGCAAATTTGTCCCTTCAAGCATTTTTCCAATTCTGGTTTGAAAACAATTACTGAATCCGCTTCCATACCCCTCTGAGGTAAAACGTTCCAAATCAGCATAACTCGCTCTAAGATTCGCTCGTCCCATTTCTGCTGTATTGCTTGAGGTCTGAGCGGGGAGAAGCTGGAAGCGTGGAATGTCAAGTAGAGCAAGAACATGAGAAGACTTGATCAGCAACATCCCCACTTACAAACCCTTTTTCTAAAATGGTAGATTCTTTTGGCATTGCAGGATCTGACTTATAGAAGTACAAGTTTGTGATAATAGAAGACAGGCTATAATGAATATCTTGAATTTCAATGTAAGTATTGCCTTTTGCTTCATCAGCTTATCTTAATGCTTATCTTAATATGTTTTGCAGGCAGTGACTAGTTATTGTACTTTTTAACAAGAGAGGTAGAGTATAAGTAGAAGACTCTTGTTGCAGTTGCACTGACACCACACTTAGAGTACTGCGTCCAATTTTGATCTCCTTATGTAAGTAAGGATATACTTGCACTGGAGGCAGTTCAGTGAAGCTTCACTTGTTTGGCTATTGGGATGAAGGGGTTGCCTTATAAGGAAACGTTGAGCAGGTTGAGATAGTGGCTACAATATGGAAAACCCAATCACTCTGTTTCTATCCTCACTTTATGCTCATTTACATACTCTTTCTCATTATGTAAGGACCACTGGACCATGATTGGAAATAGAAATGTTGGCCAGTGGTGCCTGTCTAATCTAGGGGCATTGCCCTCCCTTGTCTGAGCTGAGATTAACTAACTTTTATGACTTTTCAAATTATGGAAAATTCAATTCCTCCATACCTTTTCATAATTCACTTCTTGCAGAATATTTTTTAGTATAACATGTTTCTAGCATCACCATCCAGCGTGTGTAATCATTGATTTTAATACTGTCACATTTTCTGTTCGTCGAAAACTCTTATAACATTCTGCTCTCGAATCATTGGCTATTGTACAAAGGATGGCAGTGTAGATTTATGATTGTAGCCCTCATTCTTGTGGCTAGCCTTATCACATTGAATATTTGAATAGATACCTCATTGAAAATGAAATTGAAAGGAAATTGTAAGTATCAGATGTAGATGCCTGACATTCTGTAGAAGATCATGGCTCCCATGTAAAGGTGATATGTACAAAATTAACTTTTGTAAATTGCAATGCCAAATTGATCTTTTTGCTGTGTTTGATGGAAAGTCAAATTAAAAATTTAACAGACATTTAGTTTTTGTCAAATACCTCCATCGCAATTGGGCGAGGATATCTCAATGAAAATTTGCACATGTTTTGTTAGAAAAATGAGCTTGGATAATAAATAACCTTATTTGTGTTCTATAAATTTGTTTTTGAAAATGCAGTTGTGAAATGGAAATAATTACAATCTGGGTGCCACCTCAACTATGGCTCTGATGTGAGATAGCCAGAAAAAAAACATGCTAGAGTGAAGTAACTTTAACGATAGCAATGCAGCAGAATGTTCTAGAGAACACATAGATCTGTATTTGTTACACTTACTCCTGATCACAAATTGCTTATTTATACTTCTGACTGCACATTTATTGTGTAAGACAGATTGATATTTTAAACAGATTTTGCAGCTCAGTTCCAAATCTCTTTAAACAACATTTAGCTGCCCCTTATTAGTTGTCTTCCAAAATCACTTATGTCAGCAACAATCTTGGAAATTCTGTTTTCAGAACTGTGTATGACAGTGATGCAAGCTCTTCGCTCATTCAGATATACTTAGAACTTTATCATATGTTAAAATACAGTGATTCCTTACATAATTAAAGTCACTAAATGCTCATTTGGAGTCACCAGTATTCACACCCACAGCGTGACATTTTCAGACGAGGAATTCTTGAGGGATTGCATAAAGCCCACTCAGTAATTTCCAAAAATAGAACTTGTCAGTACAGTCCTCTCATGCAGCCTCAGCATTACTTCTATACAAATTATTATTCGTTGCACTCTATATTTTCTTTTCTTTCTGCTGTGCTTTTTCCATTCAGCTGGGAAATGAAGGTTGTGCTGTAAGATCCACACCCAGTTCTCAAGTTACAGAGCAGGTGAAAGTTTGAGTAAATCATTAGTTTGAAGTGATTTGCGTCTTCACTAATATCCTCCCCATTGGTGTGTTATTCTGTAGGATGTTGTTCCACAGTTTGTTTTCCCTGTCATGTGTGTAAAGAGAAATGAAATGTCATACCCAAGTTATAAATTGCAATGTTCATTTTTTAATGATTAACATAAGCTTTTTAGTAATTAACAAAATATGCATCAACACAACATGTGTGCAGCGACCACCCTGAGGACCGTTTTACCAGCTGGTTGTAAGAATGTGTGGAAAACTTACGTTAGAGATAAAGTTTGGAATTGCTGGAAATGTACACAATGTAAGTCAGCAAGTACGTGTGAGAGAGATTGACTGAGTGGAATCATTCATGACGTTCAGGGAGAAGGTGAGTCAACAACTTATTTCCAGAAACGTTTGTTTCATTTTGATTTGTTGTTATTGAATTTTCAAGAGTTCATTTAACGTAACCATCACTTGTGATAGCAGAGAAATGGATGGTTGCTGATTGCTTGCCCACTGCCTGTCTTTTTTATTAATCAATGAAAAGATATGTCAGATAGTAGTGTAATGGGTGAACAATGTTCTGTGTATTTTATGCCAAAAGGTTAAAACTTTAGAATGATATGTCCTGCTGGCAGAGGAATATCCTGGTGCGTTAAAGATTATTGGTGTGGTTGTGTCTGTTTTGAAGGCACTGTACATTTATAATTGAAGGAACATCTTCTCATTTGAGTTATGGAGCAAGTGTTGAAAGTGAGGATGGGTATAGTTGAAAATTTAGTTGGTGGCTGTCTCCCTATCTGACTGTGGGTAGTGACAATTTACTGTTCTGTGTTCTCCCTTTATGAGGAGGTTTATGGTGAGTAAACCTCCAAACATAGAACCCAGGCTGCTTGGAACTTCTCTAATTTTTACCTTAGTGCTAAAATTGTTTGGGTTGGTTTTGTTCCATGGGTGTTTCAGCCGCATGGTTGTTAAACTTTTCCATAGCAGGAGCAGCAATGCATCATTTTGTTCACTTGTATGCTGTAGGAGATGGTCCCTCTTCAGTGGATAGCTCCATAAGGCATCAGGGTGGGTTCTTTAGAGCTTATGATTTCTGTAGCCTCCTGTCATGAATGACTGAATGCAAGATATGATTATAATAGAGGGAAGTTTTTTTGTTTATTGTCCTCTAAAGTGATTGATTTTAATTGGAATAGATTGGAACAGAGGCAGTAAGGATTTGGTACAAAATCATAAATTGCTGGAAAAAATTCAGCAGGTCAGGCAGCATCTTCAAGAGAAAGCAGAGTTAACATTTTAATTCCAGTGACCCTTCTTCAGAACAACCCTCCTGTTCTGAAGAAGGATCACTGAACCCTAATCCTTAACTCTGCTTTCTGTCCACAGATGCCTGACTTGCTGAGTTTTTCAAGCAGTTTATGATTTTGTTTCTGATTTCCAGCATCTGCAGTTTTTTGATTTCTTAATAAGGATTTGATTGTGGTACCATAAATAATATGTTTGAAGGAAAACACCAGCTTTTGTACTGCACCTAATCTATGGCATTGGAAACAGCAAAGGATTTCCTGCAGGTGGCAGAGTTGTCATTGGCTGCCTGAACGGAAATTTCAAACCCAAGGTCAATTGATTTTGTGAGTAAACTGGAGGTAGCATTGCCTGACAGAGCTAAAACGGCAGAGATAATTGAGGTACGCTTGGGTTTAGAGGAATCACACAAAGGGCTGAGTACTTCAGGAGCTGCAGTGTTGGAATTGGGAGATATTCAGTTACAGTTGAAGTGGCCGAAGCATGATGTGAAAGTGAAGAAACCAGTGATGACACAAACAGTTAGGAAAGGAAGATGGAATTATGAAAACAGGAAATGGGAAGGAATTAGAAGTTCAAAGGGAAAGCAAAAAGAGAAAACATGCATATGAGCTAAAAATGGTGCAGTTGAAACAAGAGATTTCACATGCTGATACAGGCTCTGATGGAGAGAATCTGAGTCATAAATTTTGAAGTATAGTAAGGAAATGTTTAAGTTTCCAATAGAGTTAAAGTTATACCAATTCTTCTTTTTTTGTTTATAGTTTAACTGGGGATAAGAATTAAATGTATTTTGCTTAAAGCCGAATAGTGTGCTCAATTGAATTACATTTGGAACACAGTACCTTATACTTGCCTTTAAATAAGAGCAAAGTTAGAGTCTAGGCTATCTCCTTGAGAAATTTGCAGGGGGTTTGGTCTGGTCAATAACAATACAAAAAGGAGGGTAAATGATCCCTTTTTGAATTTTGCAGATGATATGAAATTTTCTAATAATAAATATAAAGGAGGTTATTAACTGACTTCAGGAGGACATGAACTGGTGAAATGGGCAAAGACATAGCTGATGAAATTTAATATAGAGAATTGAAGCATTTTGGAAGGATGTTTAAGAAGAAGCAATGAAAACTAAACTTTATGATTTTAAAGGGAGTGTAGGATCTGACAAATTTGGATCTGTAGGTACCCAATTTTTTAAAAGCTGGTAGGACAAATTAAGAAGCTTGCTAATGGGATTCTTGATTTTATTAACTGAAGAATCGAGGAAATAAGCAACAAAATTAGAACATAATTTTTTGGAACACTAACTGGACATTGGCATTATCTTCAATTCTGGGATGGTGCCTTGGATGAGGAGTTTCAGTTATATGGGAGATTGGAAGCCCTGTGCTTGTTCTCTTTAGACCTGAGAAGGAAGGATTTGGTAGATGCTTTCAAATTCATGAATGGTTTATTGGATTAAATAATGAGAAACTGTTTCTAGAGGCTGACCAATCAGTATTCAGAGCACAGATTTAAGATGCTTAGGTAAAGAAGCAGAGATGAAATGGGGAAACATTTAATCATTGGTGCAATTGAAATGCTCTACATCAAAACATTGTGGAAGCACATGCAGTAATTATATTCAAAGGAAATTGAATAAATATTTTGAGGAAAACTTGCTTGACTAACAGAACAGAGAAGTAGGAATCCATTCAGTAGTGCATTCATCAAGATTCACTGATCTTTCCCAATGCTGGTGCTGTTATCAAAGAATTGGTTTTCAGAAAAAAGTCTATGCTATTGGATATTGCAGACTGTAGAAAGGTGTCTTTACAAAGGTTTGTGTCTCCTATATATAAATACTTATGCTGAATATTGAAAACTACCTTCTTACATGGGGCTTCATAAGAGTAATTTTAGAAGTCATAATCCTGTTTTGTCCCAAATGCTCTGGAACTTTTAAATTTGGATCTTATCTTTGACTATTTATCATCATTTTTAATACTGTATCAAGCTTTTATTCTTTGTGTGTCTGTGTTGTGTTGTACTTCACGTTAGATTGGGAAGGTTGTATTGACTGTGTTTGCTTGCATCGAGTCTGTCCTTTATTCAACATCAGGTGTGATGTTTTGCTGACTTCTTTTAGCTGTGACATGGGAAATTGCCATAAAACCAATAAAAAAATCTAAGTAACAAAATGTACTGGTGTTCATTGTTATCATAAACACTTATCACCTTTGAGAGGACAGAAATACTAACAAGAAAATTATTTGCTAATTTACTTATATATTAAATTTATAGGTCCATGCTAATGAAACAGCCCAACCTCTAGCTTTCACATTTATACCAACTGTTCAAAGACTTCCTGTGCACATTCAGGTCATCAATACCATCAGATCCTCACCTTGGCCTGGAAAGCAACAACAGCCATCCTCGGTAATGAATGAGGTAACATCATAATTTTCAACATGCATTCTTCTTTTCTGCTAAACAGATCATTTTATTAAATGACTTCCTCCACACAAACTCTGAAGTCCTAATACAGATTGTTTGTGCTGTCCTCTTAATATTAGCAACAATGATATCAATTCAATGTGTTTGGCTCAATGCCTTTGTAGCCTTGCTGTCTTGATGTATGCAGATGGCCATCATATCAGATGCTACATTGGGTGATTATCCTAAAATAAATACCTACCTGCATTTATCATATTTTAAATGGTTTTACCATGTTGAAAATCAAATTACTATTACTTTATTACTGTACGTTCTCAGATGACTTTTGATATGACTTTTCACTGGGATAGTGCTTATTCACAAATGGCTGTAATTTATAGATGTTTCAGTTCTAATGTAATCTAATCCATATGGTCTGTATCCCTCTATTCCCCGCCTGTTCTTGTGTCTGTCCTAGTGCCTCTTAAACTTTGCTATCATATCTGCTTCTACCACCTCCATTGGCAGCGCATTCCAGATACCTGCCACCCTCTGTTTAAAAAAACTGTTTTTGCGCACCTCCTTCAAATTTGGCCCCCTCACCATGAAACCTGTGCCCCTAGTATTTGATATTTCCACCATAGGAAGTAGACACTGAATATCTACAGTATTCATAGAGTCATAGTTATATTGCATGAAAACGGACCCTTCGATCCAACTAGTCCATGCTGATGATTTTCCCAAACTAACTTGTCCCACTTGCTGTGTTTGGGCCATCTCCCTCCAAACCTTTCCTATTCATGTACCTATTGAAATGTATCTTAAATGTTGTAACTCTGCCTGCACTCCACCACTTCCTCCAGCAGTCATTCCACACATGAACCACACTCTATGTAAAAGCATTACCTCTCATGTCCTTTTTAAAGCTTTTTCCTGTCACCTTAAAAATAATCCCCCTAGTTTTGAACTTTCCCCACGCTAGGGAAAGGACCCTTGCTATTCACCTTAGCTATGCCCCTCATGATCTTATAAACTTCTATGAGGTCACCCCTCAACTACCTGTGCTCCAGTGAAAGAAGTCCCAGCCTATCCAGCTTGTTTTTATATCTCAAACCCTCTATTTCCTGCAACATCCTGGTAAATCTTTTCTGAACCCTCTCCAAGTTAGTAATATCCTTCCTATTCATGCCTGTCATAATTTTATATACTTTTATCAGGTCACCCCTCAGCCTCTAATGCTTTAGCAAAAACAATCCAAGTTTGTCCAACATCATATAGCTAATAAATCCTAATCCAGAAAACATTGTAGTAACTTGTTTTGCACCCTCTTCAAAGCCTCCACATCCTTCCGAAAGTGTGGTGACCAGATCTGCACACAATGCTCCAAATGTGGCCTAAGTAATGTTTTATAGAGCTGCACATATGATTTTCCAACTTTTATATTCAATGCCCCAACTGATTAAGACAGACATGCCTATGCCTTCTTCATTTACTTGTGTTGCCACTTTCAGGAAGCTATGGACCTGCACTTTAAGATCCCTCACTGCTTCTATTAATGCTTCTACGGGTCCTGCCATTTACTATATGATGACATGATTTGATCTTGCACGTCTTCAGTTTCCAACGTCCTTAAAATACTTCTTCACCTTGCCACAGTTTACATCTCTACTTCCAGCACTGAGACATTCCACATAACGATCTTCCCAAAGCTGCTTGGTACTAGCCATAGCAGTTGGCATCTTGTTGAATTAACTTCACAGTTGCTTGACACTTACTTTTTGATGTACTCCTCACTTGTTTTGGGGAAGGACTGGAATGGCATTTGATGTTCCTTTGTCTGTGGTGAAACCCAATTGTTGGTCACCTAAAATGACAAGATATTGTTCAAAGGAACCTGTCTAGTTTTGTGCCTGACTACTTCTACCCCTTTTAATATGTATCTTTTATGCATTAATGCTCTGTTCTGCATATTCATTGTCTAATAAACATTATCATCTAAATCTAGGAGGAAAAGAAATAAACCTATTGAAAACTTTTCTTGCAGCCTTTGCATATCACTGAAGAACTGCCCTCAGCAGGTGTTACAATGACAGATACTGTTGATAGAGGAACTCCTGGGCAACAGATGGAGATAAGCCAAAGATGGTCGAATAAGGGAGGAGATGTATCTTCTCAAGAAGCTGGATCGTCCGAAGGGATTTTCAAAGCTGAACTTGTATTCTTGGCAGATTCGTATGGAACTGATGGTGATCGTTTTTCAAGAAAAAACGAAGCAGAAGTCAACCTTTCAGCAAAAAAATTACCTTTGTCAAGTCTGTCTCCAAACCCTTTTGTTGATGACAAGAATGGCTATATTCAAAAAGAACTAATAGTGGATGAATCAAAGGCCCCTATGTTACAAAACGCTGAGCAGAAGGTCGACAGGACTCTGCAAGAGCCATTCTTTCAGGCAAGATAGCATTTTTATTCATTCATGTTTTGTTACTTTCATTTAAATGAAATCAAATATTCAGTTGCTTCATTCACTGTCAGTGAGTCAAAATTGTGGAACTCCCTTCCTAACAGCACTATGGGTGAACCTATACCCCAAAAAGGTCTTCAGTGATTCAAGAAGACAACTCGCCAATCCTGAAAAGCACTTAGGGATAAGTAATAAATGCTAGCCTCGCCAGCAAAACCCATATCCCATGAAAGAATAAAAAAAAATGAAAATTTTAACTATTTGGTATCTAAGAACAGTGATTTAAGTATTAGTTGTAGAAAATACGCAGTATTGATAGATATTGCTTGGGAAAGGGTCAAGATTTGTGAACTGTGCATTGTCGATTAAGTTCTATTGAGTTAAATCAAGTTAAAATGATGAGCTGACTCAGTCCTTATTTCTTGTTCTGCTTTTATTTCGATGTTTTAATGAAATAGACAGGAACAGGATCCTCTAGCTGTTCCAAATCTTTAATCAAATCCTTCCTTTTTATATATTCAAATATTCTACTTTTCCCTTAACTCCATGATTGGTTATAAGTTTTTGCATTGTTTTTATGGTACATTAATCATTTCTTGACAGATCACACTGAGGGTTAGCAGTAAATGAGTTTTCAAGCTCTTAATTTAATCAGTAGCTGAGTTGACCAATGCCCTTGTCTTCAGCAAAAACATTATTGTATGTTCCAACTATCCTTTCCTTTCTCTTGATTTTTTTTAACTAAACTACTTCATTCCCATGTTTAAACATTTGGAAACTATTCACAATTTTAATGAAGATTATTTGGGAATAAAACAGTTAACGGATAGAGTAAACGGACAAAGTAAAGATCAATGATGAATGGTTAATTTAATGGAGGGAAGTATGCCAAAAATCACGAGAAATTTCTTCACCCAGAGAGTGGAGAGGCTGTGGAATTCACTGTCACACAAAGTAGTCAAGGCCAAAACATTGTATGATTCTAGAATGAATTGGGAATAGCACTCGGATCTGTGGCGATCAAAGGATATGGGGGAAAAGCAGGAACAGGCCATTGAGTTGAATGATCAGCCACGATCATAATGAAGGATAGAGTAGACTCAAAAGGCGACTGGCCTGCTTCTGCTCCTATTTTCTATGTTTAGTTACCGGAAATATTATTAATGGACAGAACTGGGGAACTGCACACATTGTTAATGGATGTAACTTGGGAAATAGGCAGTGTGTTAATAGACGGAGCTTGGGAACTACACAGTGTGTTAATGGATGGAGCTTGGGAACAACACAGTGTGTTAATAGATGGAGCTTGGGAACTGTCTGCAGTATGAGTGGATGAAACTTGTGAACTATATAGAGCGTTACTGGACAGACCTTGGGAACTGCAGATGTTGTTAAGGAACAGAGCCTGGGAACTGTGCACAGTGTTGTAGTTAGTACTGTAGTTGAAAAAAACACATTGTGTTAATGGACATTTAGGTAAGGAATAAAGTAGAGATCAGTGATGAATGGTTAACTTTTAGACTGGAAGGATATATGAAGTGGTGTCTCCAAACTGTCAGAAATTGAGCCACTGTTCTTTTTGATCTATGTTAGTAACCCGACTTAAGTATACATGGCCTAATTTCCAAGTTTACAAATGACACAAAATTGGAAAAGCAGTAAGCAACATGGAAGATGGTTATAAATTTCAGGAAGCTGTACTAATGAAATGGGCAGACACCTAACAAGTGAAATTTAATAGACCAGTTACAAAGTGATGGAAAGTTTTGATCATAAGAATGAGGAGACTACAGACTCAATGGTACAATTCAAAACAGAGGTACCCGAGATTTACATTAGAAATTGTGAATGTGACAGGGTCGATTCAGATTGTTTACAAAAGAAGCATATAGGATCCTTGGAATTAAAAGGATGAGCGTGAATCAGAGAAATTATAAAAACCTTTTTATAGACTTCAGCTGGAATATTACATTCAGTTTTGACTACCACGATCTGAAATAATTTTGAGAACGCAGCAAAAGTTTAGAGGTAAATTGCTAGAATCATACCTGGGATGATAGACTTCAGTGGAGAGACTGGGGAGGCTGGAATTGTTTTCCCTGGTGCACAGAAAATTTAAAGGAAAATTTAATACATGTGCTTAAAATCAGGAAGTACTTAGATAAAGTGAAAAAGCTATATTTAAGAATGAGTACAGAATATATCTAGGGATAATAACCAGCCAGATTAATATCAACAGCAAGGTAGATATTCCTACTCAGGAAGAAAATAGAAAAACATCTAGATGCCAAAAATATAATAATGAATATTTTGGATGGGATATAAAAGAGATAAATTTGCTTGACGACCTTATTGAATGTTTGACTACGGGGAGAATGTTGACAAGGGTAATCTATTAGATGTACTAGATATGGCCCTTGAGAAAGTATTGCATAATAGCTAACGAAGAAAGTTAAAACTTGAAAAGTCAAGGACAGATTATAGAATGGATAGCTGTTTGGCTGCAAGACAAGGCAGAGATTGGTGATAAGTTAACCATTCAGAGAAGGTGATTTTCTATCAGAATAAGTAGTGGGACCACTGTTATTCAAAATTCAAAATTTTCACATTGGAATTAGAGGCATGATTTGTAGATTTGGTGACAAGCCAACAATAAAATTGGAAAATGGCATGAAGAAACTTGCAGAATAGGTATATAATTTTACAATAAATAGTAACATATTGCATTTTAAAACAAAATAAGAAGTTCAGCAATTACAAACATATGAACATTAGGGAAGTGATGGTGTAGTGGTAATAGCACTAGATCAGAACACCAGGCTCCTGATCTGGGGACATAGGTTTGAATCCCAAAATAGAAGAAGATGAAATTTTAAGGCAGTGACTTCTGGAATTTAAAAAAAAACATACAATCTAATGGTTTCAGAGATAGTGGGAACTGCAGATGCTGGAGAATCTGAGATAACAAGGTGTAGAGCTGGATGAACACAGCAGGCCAAGCAGCATCAGAGGAGCAGGAAGGCTGACGTTTCGGGCTTAGACCCTTCAGAAATGGGGGATGGGAAGGGGGTTCTGAAATAAATAGAGAGAGAGGGGGAGGCAGATAGAAGATGGATAGAGGAGGAGACAGACAGGTCAAAGAGGCAAGAGCCAGTAAAGGTGAGTGTAGGTGAGGAGTTAGGGAGGAGATAGGTCAGTCCAGGGAGGACGGATGGGTCAAGGGGGCGGGATGAAGTTAATAGATAGGAGATGGGGGTGGGGCTTGAGGTGGGAGGAGGGGATAGGTGGGAGGGAGGACAGGTTAGGGAGGCGCGGACGAGCTGGGCTGGTTTTGGGATGCGGTAGGGGGAGGGGAGATTTTGAAGCTTGTGAAGTCCACATTGGTACCATTGGGCTGCAGGGTTCCCAAGCGGAATATGAGTTGCTGTTCCTGCAACCTTCGGGTAGCATCGTTGTGGCACTGCAGGAGGCCCAGGATGGACATGTCGTCTGAGGAATGGAAGGGGGAGTTGAAATGGTTCGCAACTGGGAGGTGCAGTTGTTTAGGGCGAACCGAGCATAGGTGTTCTGCAAAGCAGTCCCCAAGCCTCCGCTTGGTTTCCCCAATGTAGAGGAGGCCACAACGGGAACAGCGGATGCAGTATACCACATTAGCAGATGTGCAGGTGAACATCTGCTTGATGTGAAAAGTCGTCTTGGGGCCTGGGATGGGGGTGAGGGGGGAGGTGTAGGGGCAAGTGTAGCACTTCCTGCGGTTGCAGGGAAAAGTGCCGGGTGTGGTGGGGCTGGAGGGGAGTGTGGAGCGGACAAGGGAGTCACGGAGAGAGTTGTCCCTCCGGAAAGCAGATAAGGGCGGGGAGGGAAAGATGTCTTTGGTGGTGGGGTCGGATTGCAGATGGCGGAAGTGTCGGAGGATGATGCGTTGGATCCGGAGGTTGGTGGGGTGGTACGTGAGGATGAGGGGGATTCTGTTTTGGTTGTTATTGCGGGGAAGGGGTGTGAGGGATGAGTTGCGGGAAATGCGGGAGACACGGTGGAGGGCGTTCTTGACCACTGAGGGGGGGATGTTGTGGTCCTTGAAAAACGAGGACATCGGAGATGTACGGGAGTGGAATGCCTCATCCTGGGAGCAGATGCGGAGGAGGCGAAGGAATTGGGAATAGGAGATGGCATTTTTTCAGCAAGGTGGGTAGGAGGAGGATTATTCTAGGTAGCTGTGGGAGTCGGTGGGCTTGAAATGGATATCGGTTTTTGCTGGTTGCCGGAGGTGGAGACAGAGAGGTCCAGAAGGAGAGAGAGGTATTAGAGATGGTTCAGGTGAACTACAGGTTGGGGTGGAAGGTGTTGGTGAAGTGGATGAACTGTTCGAGCTCCTCGTGGGAGCACGAGGGGCGCCGATACAGTCATCAATGTAACGGAGGAAGAGGTGGGGTTTAGGGCCAGTGTAGGTACGGAAGAGGGATTGTTCCACGTAACCTACAAAGAGGCAGGCATAGCTTGGGCCCATGCGGGTACCCATGGCCACCCCCTTTGTCTGTCAGAAGTAGGAGGAATTGAAAGAGAAGTTGTTAAGGGTGAGGACGAGTTCAGCTAAGTGGATGAGACTGCCAATGGAGGGGGACTGGTCGGGCCTACGGAACAGGAAGAAGCGGAGGGCCTTTAGGCCATCTGTATGGGGAATGCAGGTGTATAGGGACTGGATGTTCATGGTAAAGATGAGGTGTTGGGGACTGAGGAATTGGAAGTTCTGGAGGCGGTGGAGGGCGTGGGTGGTGTTATGGACGTAGGTAGGGAGTTCCTGGACTAAGGGGGAGAAAATGGAGTCAAGATAGGTGGAGATAAGTTCGGTGGGGCAGGAGCAGACGGAGACAATGGGTCGACCAGGGCAGTCAGGTTTGTGGATTTTGGGAAGGAGATAGAAGCGGGCAGTGCGGGGTTGGGGAACAATAAGGTTGGAGGCTGTGGGTGGGCGGTCACCTGAGGTGATGAGGTTGTGGATGGTTTGGGAAATAATGGTTTGGTGGTTGGGGGTGGGGTCATGATCAAGGTGGCAGTAGGAGGTGGTGTCGGAGACTTGGCGCCTGGCCTCGGCGATGTAGAGGTCAGTGCGCCATACTACAACTGCGCCTCCCTTGTCCGTGGGTTTTATGGTGAGGTTGGGATTGGAGCGGAGGGCTGCCCATTCTGCGGGGGAGAGGTTGGAGTGGGTGAGAGGGGTGGAGAGGTTGAGGCGATTGATGTCTCGATGGCAGTTGGAGATGAAGAGGTCGAGGGAGGGTAGGAGGCCTTGGGGTGGTGTCCAGGAGGAGGGGGTTCCCGTTGTGGCCTCCTCTACATCGGGGAAACCAAGCGGAGGCTTGGGGACCGCTTTGCAGAACACCTACGCTCAGTTCGCACTAAATAACTGCACCTCCCAGTCGCGAACCATTTCAACTCCCCCTCCCATTCCTCAGACGACATGTCCATCCTTGGCCTCCTGCAGTGCCACAACGATGCTACCCGAAGGTTGCAGGAACAGCAACTCATATTCCACTTGGGAACCCTGCAGCCCAATGGTATCAATGTGGACTTCACAAGCTTCAAAATCTCCCCTCTCCCTACTGCATCCCAAAACCAGCCCAGCTTGTCCCCGCCTCCCTAACCTGTCCTTCCCCCCCACCTCAAGCCCCCCCCCCATCTCCTACCTACTAACCTCATCCCGCCCCCTTGACCTGTCCGTTCTCCCTGGACTGACCTATCTCCTCCCTACCTCCCCACCTACACTCACCTTTACTGGCTCCATCCCCTCCTCTTTGACCTGTCTGTCTCCTCTCCACCTATCTTCTCCTTTATCCATCTTCTATCCGCCTCCCCCTCTCTCCCTATTTATTTCAGAACCCGCTTCCCCTCCCCCATTTCTGAAGAAGGGTCTCGGCCTGAAACATCAGCCTTCCTGCTCCTCTGATGCTGCTTGGCCTGCTGTGTTCATCCAGCTCTACACCTTGTTATCTCATACAATCTAATGGTGATCCCTTGAATACTGCTGATTGTTGGAAAAATCCACTTTGTTCACTGAAGTTCTTTAGGGAAGGAAATCTGCAATCCTTGCATGGTCTGGCCTACATATGACTCCAGATCCACAGAAATGTAGTTGACTCTCATCTGCCCTCTGAAATGACCTTGCAAGCCACTCATTTCAGGGCACTTAGTGATGGTCAATAAATTCTGGCCTTGCCAGTAATGCCCACATCCTGTGTATACATAAAAGAAAATGACATTCAACACAAGTGAAGTCCCTCAGCCTGCTACGCCATTTGATGAGATCATGGTTCATTTGATTGTGGCCTCTCTGATTTCTCTGCACAGATGCTGCCAGACCGGCTGAGTATTTCCAGCAATTTAGGTTTTTGTTTCTGATTTCGAGCATCTCCCAGTTCTTTCGGTTTTTGATTGTGGCCTCCACTGTTTTCTGTTTATTCCCCTAGTCAATCAAGAATTTATTGAACTCAGCCTTAAAAATATTCAATCAACTGGCTTCCATTGCTTTCTGTGAGAAACAAATGGCTATAAAAGAAATCACTATTGTACTCATGAGACCCTTAATTAGCTGTGCTATTCCATTACATTTTCCTAGCTTCTGAAATGTTGTGTACACTTCAATATTCCAGTTCTAGCCTTTGTTATTTTGTAGCTTTGTCTTGGTAATGACTATCAGATCATACATATTTATTTCTATTTGAGCCGACAATTATCTGTTTTGTTGTGAATACATCTATTCAGATACCAAGCCCTTAGTTCTGACTTTTAAAATAGTTTTTGCAACTTCTGGACTTATCTACAGGTGCACTCAATCAGTTTGTATACTCTGTGCCTTCCTGCTATGTTCCAATTATCTACCTTGCTACCTTGCTCTCTTGGTTTGTCTTCTCCCTGTAATTTTTCACATGTTCCCTTACTTGATCCCTTACTTGATCTATTACTCCCACGAATTATTTTTAAACCCTCTCTATGCTCCTAGTAACAAGACTCACCAGAACACTGGTCCCAGCCTAGTTCTACATGACGTCCTCCCCAGTTGTACTGCTCCCTCTTTCCCCAGATCTGGTACCAGTGTCCCATGAGTCCAAACCCATGTTTCCCACATCAATCTTTGAGCTGCTCAATTTGGTAATCTTGTTTACTCCATGCTAGTTTGCTCATGGCTCCAAGAATAATCCAAAGATTGGCACCATTTGGAGTTCTGTTTTCAAATTTAGCAACTAGCTGCTCACATTACCTAAGTATTTCCACTTTCCTAGTTCATCTGTGTTATTGTTACTTTACTACATTTAGAAAGATTTAGTAGAATGATACAAAAACTGTGAATTTATATCCATTGAATTCGGATTAACAAATAGAGTTTCTTTGTTTTAATTGAACTGCGAAGGCATGGAGTGACTTAGAGACATTTGAAATGATGAATGCTTTTGATAGAGTGGATACAGAGAGAGTATTTCCCCTTATAGGCGAGGTCCTGATTTGATGTCATCAGTTTAAGGTAGACAAAAGTCAAAAATCAAGTAAGGAGGTTCAAAAAGGGGCTGATGAGAATTTGGAGCTTGCATTGTTGCAACTGCTTCAGTTTCACTTAAAGGAAAGCCACATGAGCAAGCAGGGGAGAACGTATGTTTTTGGGCAAAATGGGAGAGGCTGGAATGGTGCATAAGCACGAACAAGAACATGTCGATTTGGCTGTATGTGGTATATTTGATATAAAGTACAATAAGCAAGTGATACATATTTAAGGTTATTGGCAAAAGACGTAAAGGTGAGATAAGGAATTTATTTTAAACCGAGAATGATTTGGAATGTACTCTCTGTAAAGGTAATTGAAACAGATTCAATTACAGAATAATAAGGGGAATCGTATAAATACTTGACGTAATGAAAGTCACTGGTATATTTGGAAAAGTGGGACTAACTGCTTAGCTATTTTGAAGAGTTGGCATAAGCATGATTGGCCAAATGTAATTGTGTTCAACAAGAATTATGAATATCTGGGGACTTCACACATTGATAATGGCTAATACACGGCACCTGTACACAGTTTCAATGAATATTACTTAGAACTTTGCACAGTATTGATGGATATTTTTGAGAATACTGCAGTGTTGTGAGCATTATTTGTTTCATACTTAAAACATTGAATTTTGAACAAGGGTTTTGGGTGCGAAAGTGGAGGTTTATGACTTTGCAACTGTCAAACTTTGCATAGCTGATGATTACTGACATAGATTCTGTCTAGGAGAGAGATTATATACCACTAGGGGAAATACGTAGATTGGCAGTCAATTCAAGTTGCTAACTCTGCCATCTAATGTCATTTGACTATTCCAATGTTCTGTTTGCCTCCTACTTTGCCTGTTTCTCAAACTTGATTGTGATTCTCATACATAAGTGTGGATGTGATGACATCCAAGTGGACTAGGTGGTTTAAGATGGTGGCTAACTGCCACCAGCTCGAGAGCAATTAAGGATGGGCAGTAAAAGTTGGCCTTGCATACAACAGTTGAGCAAATAAATAGATCTCTTCTGCTTGGCCACCCATCACCCCTGTGCTTACAAACCTATACTAGTGCTCAGTCTGGCAGAAAATCAGTTTCCAGGTACTCATCCCTGTTTTTAAATCTCTCCATGGCTTTGCCCTATCCCTGAGTATTTTCTTCCTCCAGCCTAATAATGCTGTAAAATCTGTGCAAGTCTCCAATTCTAGCCTCTTGAGCATTCTTGACTTTCTACAGTCCATTATTGGCATCAGGTACCTAAGCCCTAAACTTCGAAATTTGCTCCCCAATCCTCTTCTCTTCTCTTCTCCAATCTCCTTTTTTAGGACTTTCCCTAAAGCTACCTTTTTGATCCAGTTTTTGACCACTGACTTGCATAACTCCTTACGTTTGATAATGCTCTATCTAATGTTGTTGTTATATTGAACGGAGTTTGTGCAATACCATTCAAAGAGTTATGATCAAACATGCTGCCATCCCATGAACTAGCTTAGATCATAGATCACAGAATCCCTACAGTGTGGAAACAGGCCCTTTGGCCTAACAAGTCCACACCAATCCTCAGAGCATCCCACCCAGACCTATCACCCTAATCGACACATCCCTGAACACTACAGGCAATTTAGCATGGCCAATCCACCTAGCTTGCACATCTGTGGATTGTGGAAGGAAACCAGAGCACCTGGAGGAAACCCACACAGACATGGGGAGAATATGCAAACTCCACACAGACAATCACCCAAGGGTGGAATCGAACCGGAGTCCCAGGTGCTGTGATGCAGCAGTGCTAACCACTGAGCCACCATGCTGCCCCATAATAAGCTTCCACAGAGAACAAACTCTACTGCGATTTAAAATCCAGGACATTGAGCTTCCATTATGCACCATGAGCCTGACAAAATAGATATAACTTCCATGGTATCCAATGGGCATGAGCTTGGTATAACATTTGAAATCCACTGGCTTAAGTAGATGGAGTAACTGAAGAAAATGACTGGTTCTATGATACCTGGGATTTAAGCAGTTGTTTGCAGTACGTTGTGTGCATTGTAACATGTTCCCTGATATTCTAGCTTATTAGTATTAAAAATATTATTCTTGGCGCGGACATTGCTGGCCGGAACTAGTAGAGCACTTTGAAGCTTTTTTTGGGATTGATTTTAAAAATGTTTATTAAAATCATCCTAATGATTAGCCTAAAATTTCAGCTTGGTCAGTTCATGTCATTAAATTCACCTAATCCAGTGAAATTTGGATATCCATTTGGGGCATATTAATTTGAAAAATCTGTTTCATTCCCAGTCTGATTTGTTTTTGAGTCCATTCTAATAACAAAATAAATTCAAGCTTAGTAAATGTTTCCATGACTACATGTTTCCTGAGATCAGCTTGGCTGAGCAGCATTTGTAAGCAGTATTCACTGATCTGAATTTTGTGAAATATTTGCTGATTTAAATTTTGTAATTATTTGTATATATTTAAAAAAGCAGTATTGGAGGCAAAAAAAAATTAATTTAATTCTAATTTTAAAACTAGCAATGTATTCATGCCGCAGAAAATGAAATAATAATTGCACTTAACTCTGCTTCAGGCTTTGGAAATTTAATTCACAAAGGCTTATCTGAATCTGGGTTTAAATTACTTTGATAACCATTGATAATTATTGTGCCATGATGTGAATTTGTGAGGATATCACAACATTTGCACAGGGCAGTTAGTAAAATTCAGGACCAATTAAAATGACCTTTAGATTAACACATCTACACGAGTAATGGTTGACTTCATGTAAATGTCAACTTTAAAAATCTGGCCAAAAAGATCCAAGTTCTTTGTCCTCCCCACCCACTTGCCATTGAAGTCAAACTCATCCTGGTGCACACCTACTGTTTTAGAATAGCACACCATTGAAATGCACTCTGGTAGAGCTGTTGCCATGGAGAAAATCCCAGTAATGATGATTGACAATTGATTTCCAAGTTTTCTTTAAATTTTAAACCAGGCAAGTTGACTTTGATTGGTCAAGGCACTGTTTTGAGAAAAGAACCAGTGAATGCCTGTCACCTGTTTTAAGGTGGTCAATCCCTTGTGTCATCACATGACAATGTGTTGTCACGATTGTCACCTCATTGGTATGCACTATTTCCTGGCAATTTTCTGAAGAAGTGTCCCGACCCGAAACATGAACTTTCCTGCTCCTCTGATGCTGCCTGGCTTGCTGTGTTCCTCCAGCTCCACACTGTGTTACCTCTGACTCCAGCATCGGCAGTTCTTACTATCTCATTCGGTTCTATGGTTGTCTTACGATGAATGTTGGAATACCTGGTCCCATGTTCTCAGGAATTTTGGTAAATGAGAGATGAACATACAAGATAATAAAAGGGCCTTGACAGAATTGGTACTCAGAGATTGTTTCGCTGGGGTGTCTAGAATTCTGGCACTGTCTCACAATAACGAATGAATTAATTAGGACCGAGATGAAGAGAATTTTTTTTTGCTCAGATATGAATCTTTGCAAATTTCTACTTTAAATGGTTGTGGATGTTGCAGCATTGAATATATTTCAGATTGAGATGGACAGATTATTATTGTCGCTGGAAATTAAGGGGATTGAGCAGTAAAGTGGATTTGAAGTTGAAGATCAGCAAAAATGGTACTAAATGGCAGACTCATGATATGCTCTTCCTATTTCTTATGTTTTTAATTGGCATTTTTTCTCCCCCCACCCCTCCCTGCCATGTTAGAAGTAACAACTTCATGGACAGCACATATTGTATGCTATATTGAAAATAGTACAAGTAAATCACTATTCCACTTGGAAAGACAGTTTGGGCCTTGAGTAGTGGTCCAGGAGGAGGTAAAAGGAGGTATCACATCTCCTAACCTTGCATGGGAAGGTACTCTTAGAAGAGTATTACAGGAGACTGAAGAGTAAATTAGGATGTACTAGAAATACAGATAGCTTTGGATTGCTGATCTAGGGATGAGACAATAAGATATATTTGGTGATGCATTGCCCTGGAGGTAGTGGAAATAGCATAGGACTGTGCTTTAACAATGGAGGCAGTTGGCTGGAAGGTGAGACTAAGGAAGCTCTTTCGTCTGGGAAGAGACGAAAGTCTTGGTGCACGTGGCTAGGAAATAAATGGACACAATTGGGTACAAATATCAAATCACAGTGTAGGATATAACTTGGTTGAGGAAAGAGGAAGGTGTATTAGATGCATTATGAATGAAGATGGCAATGTTAGAAAAGAGGTTATGGAGAAGCTGGAAAAATGGAACTCATATTATAATGACTTGGGGCCTTGGCTGACAACATCTCAAATCAGTGTTTTGAAATAGCGGCTTACTGTGTTCGCTCTGAAATGATAGGTGAAAGTGATCAATTTGTGAGGACAGTTTCAACCAACTGTTAAGTTTTTGCTTTGACCCTCAGCTGTGAAATTTATTTCCGAAACTCCTCATTCCTACTTCTCTCTATTAATTTAGGCTTCTCCAGAAAGGAAAGAAAACAAGTTTTACCAAGAATACAAGTCCAATAAGATATGGTCACTATTGACTTTGTTCCTGTTATGCAGATTACCTCAAAACATTCTAAATTATTGACCTGTTGTAAATGAATATGATTCAAAGAAAGATTCTTACATGAACTTTAATGATTCTCCATCCCATTCTGTATCTGTCTTGTGGATAATTCTTCTTAATTATTATTATCTTTCCTTAGCCTTCAATTGTCCCAATCCCAGTTTATGATAGCCAAAACAAAAAATGCTGGAGAAGCTGAACAGGTTTGGTGGCATCTGAGGAGAGAGAAACAGAATTAATGTCTTCAGTTCAGAATGCCTCTTCCTCTGAACCTGGAGTCATACGAAACTCAAAGTTTTGGCTATGTTTCTATCTTTACAGAAGCCATTGGACCTGCTGAGCTTTTCCAGCACTGTTTTTTTTTGTTTCCTGTGTCCACAATATTATGTTTTATTTTACTTTTATTCCCTCTGAACAATACAATGTGGCTAGTTTTAACTTGATTGGCTTAAAGTCAGTTTCTGACTGGGAAATGCATCACTGCATTGATGGTTTAAAGCGAAGGGTCTAGGCCCAAAACGTCAGCTTTCCTGCTCCTCTGATGCTACTTGGCCTGCTGTGTTCATCCAGCTCTACATCTTGTTATCTCTCACTGTCACATGGGCACATTAACAGTTTCCATGTTGTT